ATATAACTGAAAACCTTTGTTGCAATTTAAATTATTGTCAGATGACTTGCTGTTTAATAATTCCTTCTCTTTCTTCTGAATTACATTTATGAGATTATTACACTAGGTGCAATGCTTTAATGAATAACGCGTACTCCTTGGTTAGAAATATGTATCGCTAGGCAAGAGATGAGTGAAGGATGCAGAATATCATATGGATGTCAGTTACATCACCTTTCAATGGGGAACAAACTGGTGTGTTTTGCAACAGTTACCCCATTTTGAAAATCTTTAACCGAGATATTTGATTTTGAAACAAAACATTTTCATGGAACCAACTGACCGAATTTCTCAAAAAAGTCTGGGAATGACATCTTGTTGAGATACTGTTATCTTGCAGCTCTCCATCATACCGGAGCCCTGTCTGCAACCCTAATCATGTAACTACCCACAGACAGGCAGCTGATGGTATCCAGTGCTGGGAGGGGCGCGCTTGTCAGCCACTCAGTAGTCCCCCCTCACATCTATGTTAATGTATGCACAATCTTCACTTCCCAAGACTTTACAAAATTTTCTCAAGGGGTGACAGGTCCTCCCCAGCTCACATCAATTGTTTCCATACAACAGGCTGTTATTGATCTTGACAACAGTGACAATAAGCTTTAGAAAACCTGCTGTGAATAGGGTCATTCCAGGGACTCCTGACCCTGGTCAGGCAGTGGTCAGTGTGAACTTGCCCTGGCTAGTCCCCCTCATCCCCCCTCAGTCATCATTAACTCATCTGACTGTTGGTGTATAAATGGAGGCAGTTCTCTGTGAGCTTCACTCTTCCTGTGAGAGCCATCTGTGAAGGTAAGCCGTAGTTTTCTCTCTCAGCAGGGCGGGGCAGGGACAAGCATGCTTTCATCAGCTGAATATCTCTCTCAGACTGTGTCTTTAGTCAGATAGCAGGGCTGTGTGTTAGGTTTTACTGGCGTTGGTATACCTGACAATATCGACCTCCTATTGCAGGTGTATAGGATCTGATGTGTGTGTAAATATCAGTGTAAATGTCTGTTTCAAGTATTGTCAGTATTGTCAATGCTGGAGTTTCCAAGGACGGGGTTTAATATAGTGTGTTTATCAATGCTGTGTCTTGAGACTTACTGTTTACCTCTTTATGCAGTAGTATTTCTTGGGTTCCTGAGTCGCAAGGGTTGTTTGCTACACCAGATTCTGTCAGAATCTAGCTGTGTCCTTCAGCGTCTATCACTTTTAACATCAGAACTAGGTTACAACCTGTGGGCATAATATTACATGCAGGCTACAACCTGTCTGTGATATAGGTTACAGGCTACCCTGTCTGGGCAGTATATGGTGTCTGGGCAGTATATGGTGTACTACATGCAGGCTACAACCTGTCTGGGCAGTATATGGTGTACTACATGTAGGCTACAACCTATCTGGGCAGTATAAGGTGTACTACATGCAGGCTACAACCTGTCTGGGCAGTATAAGGTGTACTACATGCAGGCTACAACCTATCTGGGCAGTATATGGTGTACTACATGTAGGCTACAACCTATCTGGGCAGTATTACAACCTGTCTGGGTACTATGTAGGCTACAACCTGTCTGGGCGAGGTATAAGGTGTACTACATGCAGGCTACAACCTGTCTGGGCAGTATAAGGTGTACTACATGCAGGCTACAACCTATCTGGGCTATAAGGTGTACTACATGCAGGCTACACCTGTCTGGGCGAGTATAAGGTGTACTACATGCAGGCTACAACCTATCCGGTATAAGGTGTATTACATCGGGCTACAACCTGTCTGGGCGGTATGGTGTATTACATGCAGGTCTACAAGGCTACAACCTATCTGGGCAGTATATGGTGTATTACATGCAGGCTACAACCTATCTGGGGTCATGTATTAGTAGGCTAATCTGGGTGTATTACATGCAGGCTACAACCTATCTGGGCAGTATATGGTGTATTACATGCATACAACCTATCTGGTCAATTTACAATTTTACGTGTATTACATGCTGGTCAACCTGTCTACGGTATAGAGGTGTATACATGCAGGCTACAACCTGTCTGGGCAGTATATGGTGTATTACATGCAGGCTACAACCTGTCTGGGCAGTATAAGGTGTACTACATGCAGGCTACAACCTATCTGGGCAGTATAAGGTGTACTACATGCAGGCTACAACCTGTCTGGGCAGTATAAGGTGTATTACATGCAGGGATTCAACCTATCTGGGCAGTATATGGTGTATTACATGCAGGGATTCAACCTATCTGGGCAGTATATGGTGTATTACATGCAGGCTACAACCTGTCTGGTCAGTATAAGGTGTATTACATGCAGGCTACAACCTATCTGGGCAGTATATGGTGTATTACATGCAGGCTACAACCTATCTGGTCAGTACAACGTGTATTACATGCAGGCTACAACCTATCTGGTCAGTACAACGTGTATTACATGCAGGCTACAACCTATCTGGTCTGTATATGGTGTACTACATTCAGGCTACAACCTGTCTGGGCAGTATTTGGTGTACAACATGCAGGCTACAACCTATCTGGTCAGTACAAGGTGTACTAAATGCAGGCTACAACCTATCTGGGCAGTATAAGGTGTACTACATGCAGGCTACAACCTGTCTGGGCAGTATATGGTGTATTACATTCAGGCTACAACCTGTCTGGTCAGTATAAGGTGTACTACATGCAGGCTATATAGTGTGTACATGCAGGCTACAACCTGTCTGGGCAGTATAAGGTGTATACTACATGCAGGCTACAACCTGTCTGGGCAGTATATGGTGTACTACATGCAGGCTACAACCTATCTGGTCAGTACAACGTGTATTACATGCAGGCTACAACCTGTCTGGGCAGTATAAGGTGTATTACATGCAGGCTACAAACCTATCTACATGCAGGCTACAACCTATCTGGGCAGTATACGGTGTACTGTTTGCAGGCTAAAACATATCTGGGCAGTATATGGTGTACTACATGTAGGCTACAACCTATCTGGGCAGTATAAGGTGTACTACATGCAGGCTACAACCTGTCTGGGCAGTATACAGTGTATTACATTCAGGCTACAACCTGTCTGGGCAGTACAAGGTGTACTACATGCAGGCTACAACCTATCTGGGCAGTATATGGTGTATTACATGCAGGCTACAACCTATCAGGTCAGTACAACGTGTATTACATGCAGGCTACAACCTATCGGGGCAGTATATGGTGTATTACATGCAGGCTACAACCTATCTGGTCAGTACAACGTGTATTACATGCAGGCTACAACCTATCTGGGCAGTATATGGTGTACAACATGGGGCTACAACCTGTCTGGTCAGTACAAGGTGTATTACATGCAGGCTACGACCTATCTGGTCAGTACAACGTGTATTACATGCAGGTTACAACCTATCTGGTCAGTATATGGTGTACTACATTCAGGCTACAACCTGTCTGGGCAGTATTTGGTGTACAACATGCAGGCTACAACCTATCTGGTCAGTACAAGGTGTACTAAATGCAGGCTACAACCTATCTGGGCAGTATAAGGTGTACTACATGCAGGCTACAACCTGTCTGGGCAGTATATGGTGTATTACATTCAGGCTACAACCTATCTGGTCAGTATACAGTGTATTACATGCAGGCTACAACCTGTCTGGTCGGTACAAGGTGTACTAAATGCAGGCTACAACCTATCTGGTCAGTATACAGTGTATTACATGCAGGCTACAACCTATCTGGGCAGTATATGGTGTATTGCATGCAGGCTACAACCTGTCTGGGCAGTATATGGTGTACTATATGCAGGCTACAACCTATCTTGGCAGTTATGTGTTGAGAATGGTGAATGTGTAGTGTGAAATGGCCAGGCTTCCCTGACACTGACACAAGCAGGCTTGTCAGAAGTTGACAAATCTAAATTCTTCAAATACAACACAGCTTCTGGTAAATTGTATTTAAACAATTTAACAGTTGACCAGAGCATTCTTCCCAGCCTTTGTTTGTGTGAAGCATTAACCGAATTCCGTGTTTGTTTCATGCTTTGAGAAAACATTTCAAGGCTGAGAAAGAAACCGTAAATATTCTGACAGAATTTACCCCACAAACTGGCAATATCATACAGGTGAATAAATCCCTTCTTAATGTATAGTACAAGTCAATAAATACAAGCTAAAGATACAAGCTTGGTGGAGGGGTGAACACTGACATCCATCATGATTAGAGGTTTTGTTGGCCATGTCACCTCATGCTGGACTGGAGTCTCCCGGGAATCCTGGACAGTACGAGTGAAGTATCCAGATGTGGGGGGGATCACAGTGTTTGTGTCAACTGGTAGGCGATGAGCAGTAAGGGAAAGGGTAGGTCATCACAGGAGAAGGTGGGGAAGGGGTAGGTCGTCACAGTAGAGGGTGTCAGTTGGGTAGGTCTACTTCTTGGCCGCTGCTAGTTGTTTCTCTCTCTCCAGGCTTGGTGGAGGTCGTCAGAATAGAGGGTAGGGAAGGGGTAGGTCATAAGAGTAGAGGGTAGGGAAGGGGTAGGTCATCACAATAGAGGGTAGGGTAGGGGTAGGTCATTAAGGAAGGGGTAGGTCATCACAGTAGGGGGTAGGGCAGGGGTAGGTCTTCACAGTAGAGGGTAGGGAAGGGGTAGGTCGTCACAATAGAGGGTAAGGTAGGGGTAGGTCAACCCGAAGAGGTAGGGAAGGGGTAGGTCATCACAGTAGGGGGTAGGGCAGGGGTAGGTCTTCACAGTAGAGGGTAAGGAAGGGGTAGGTCGTCACACTAGAAGGTAGTGAAGGGGTGGGTCATCACAGAAGAGGGTAGGGAAGGGGTAGGTCATCACAGTAGAGGGTAGGGAAGGGGTAGGTCATCAGAGTAGAGGGTCAGGCAGGGGTAGGTCGTCACAGTTAAGGTTAGGGAAGGGGTAGGTCATCACAGAAGAGGGTACCAATTTATTGCTTGGATTCACAATTCTCCCTTTCATTTCAGCATCACGCCTTGGTCGACGTCCCAAACGGCTGAAAGACGTGAGCGGTGATTCACAGCGATCTCATCAAGTGAACCTCCCTATTGCACCATACCCCTCCCCAGCAGAACTCTACAGACTCAGAATGGCAGAACTTCAGAAACTCCTCCAAGCTAATGGCACCTTCAAGTCTGAGCTCATGCAGGCGTTCCTGTCAGCAGCACAGGCCAGCTTCAGGGAACACGCCAAGAACAGCACCACGACTTCCCAGAGCACCACCACCACCACCACCCAGGACGGGAACCAGAACACGTACACACAGGGCATGATCCAGTTCGGGAACGAGTCGGGGTACTCCAGCATGAGTAGCCCAGCCAGCAGCAAGAGCCAGTCTCCCCTTCACGACAACAACCATCCACAGGTGCTCAACAACAACCAGATGATGGACAACACCAACATGAACACCTTGCCACCTACCACTACCTACAATGCCAACTCCACACTGAGCCAGCAGCAGCAGCAGCAACAGCAGCAGCAGCAGCAGCAACATACTATTGGCATGATGAACACACAGATGGGAAACAACAACATGCCCAGCATCTCGACCACTCACGTGTCCAACATCTCCAGCCCAATGTCCAGTACGGTCATGCCCAACACACCCAGCCCAATGTCCACATCGTCCAACCTGAACACCCCTATGTCCATGCCCTACATCATGCCCCTTGACACCATCAAGACCGAGCCCACATCTACAGGTGCCTGTGACTTCCCTGATTCCAATGGCAACCAGGCGACGGAAGTGTTGCGGATGCTGGATGAGGCGAAGCAGATGCCGATGGGGTCGAGAAGGCAGCTGATATTGCAGGTGCAGGAAGCAGTCTCCGCCCACCTCAGCACGTCCCTGAACACAACCAAGTCCGTTAAGGAAGCCAAGGAGAGACTTAGTAAATCCCCCATGCCGATGCAGATGGTGAGTTGGCTGAACCGGATGAAGCTTATGTTACATTATTGCATTGAAACATATCACTGCTTCATACTTCCTATTGTTGTTTCCAGTTTTGGGGTGTTAATGATTGAATACTATTTTTTGGCATATTTCAATTAGAAATTACTACAAAATGTTTTCTCAAGTGGATCTAGCAGAAATGTTGAAGTCAGTTGTTAGACATCCTGCCCAAGGTTTAATGTTCCTTCTGTCTTTACAAAGACCGAAAACCAGAATGTTGAGGTGATGTTGCAATGATGTTGAAGCAATGTTTAGGTGCTGTGTTGTGTTACAGCCCGACATGAGCAAGCTGTCTCTAAATGCCGACTCCATGTGGCAAGGCTTTCTGTCCCAGATGGTGCCAGAGATCACCAACGTTGTCAAGTTCTGCAAGCGGCTGCCAGGTGAGTGAGAGATTCAAGGGTAGACTTTGGCACTAGTAACCTATGCTTGGCGTCCACTAAAGTTGATCGGAAGTACAGTTGGTATATTGGATGTACAGCTTGCAAAGATATCAGAGACGCTGTTCTGCAGAATTGCCATAGGTGTGCAAAGACCAAAGGATGTTGAACCCCCGATTTGCCCTGATAATGATTGTTTGTTGGTGAGCAACTGCATCAGTCCATGTGATAAATAGTCGTTATTTGTTTGCAGGCTTCACAGAGATTGAGCAGGAAGACCAGATTAAGCTGCTATAAATAGGAAGACCAGATTAAAGCTGCTATAAAATAGTCGTTATTTGTTTGCAGGCTTCACAGAGATTGAGCAGGAAGACCAGATTAAGCTGCTATAAATAGTCGTTATTTGTTTGCAGGCTTCACAGAGATTGAGCAGGAAGACCAGATTAAGCTGCTATAAATAGTCGTTATTTGTTTGCAGGCTTCACAGAGATTGAGCAGGAAGACCAGATTAAGCTGCTATAAATAGTCGTTATTTGTTTGCAGGCTTCACAGAGATTGAGCAGGAAGACCAGATTAAGCTGCTATAAATAGTCGTTATTTGTTTGCAGGCTTCACAGAGATTGAGCAGGAAGACCAGATTAAGCTGCTATAAATAGTCGTTATTTGTTTGCAGGCTTCACAGAGATTGAGCAGGAAGACCAGATTAAGCTGCTATAAATAGTCGTTATTTGTTTGCATTTTCACAGAGATTGAGCAGGAAGACCAGATTAAGCTGCTATAAATAGAGATTTGTTTGCAGGCTTCACAGAGATTGAGCAGGAAGACCAGATTAAGCTGCTATAAATAGTCGTTATTTGTTTGCAGGCTTCACAGAGATTGAGCAGGAAGACCAGATTAAGCTGCTATAAATAGTCGTTATTTGTTTGCAGGCTTCACAGAGATTGAGCAGGAAGACCAGATTAAGTTTGCAGGCTAGATTGAGCAGGAAACCAGATTAAGCTGCTATAAATAGTCGATTTATTTGTTTGCAGGGCTTCACAGAGATTGAGCAGGAAGACCAGATTAAGCTGCTATAAATAGTCGTTATTTGTTTGCAGGCTTCACAGAGATTGAGCAGGAAGACCAGATTAAGCTGCTATAAATAGTCGTTATTTATTTGCTTTGCAGGAAGAGGCTTATAAACAGAGATTGAGCAGGAAGACCAGATTAAGCTGCTATAAATAGTCGTTATTTGTTTGCAGGCTTCACAGAGATTGAGCAGGAAGACCAGATTAAGCTGCTATAAATAGTCGTTATTTGTTTGCAGGCTTCACAGAGATTGAGCAGGAAGACCAGATTAAGCTGCTATAAATAGTCGTTATTTGTTTGCAGGCTTCACAGAGATTGAGCAGGAAGACCAGATTAAGCTGCTATAAATAGTCGGTTATTTGTTTGCAGGCTTCACAGAGATTGAGCAGGAAGACCAGATTAAGCTGCTATAAATAGTGGTTATTTGTTTGCAGGCTTCACAGAGATTGAGCAGGAAGACCAGATTAAGCTGCTATAAATAGTCGTTATTTGTTTGCAGGCTTCACAGAGATTGAGCAGGAAGACCAGATTAAGCTGCTATAAATAGTCGTTATTTGTTTGCAGGCTTCACAGAGATTGAGCAGGAAGACCAGATTAAGCTGCTATAAATAGTCGTTATTTGTTTGCAGGCTTCACAGAGATTGAGCAGGAAGACCAGATTAAGCTGCTATAAATAGTCGTTATTTGTTTGCAGGCTTCACAGAGATTGAGCAGGAAGACCAGATTAAGCTGCTGAAGCAGGGATCCTTCGAAGTGATGATGACTCGGAGCAGCTTCACGATGCTGGTGGACAGGGATCCTTCGGAGGATGATGCTGCCACGACCCATCACACAAGGAGGAGATGCTGGACCCATCTCACAAGATGAAGTGTCCAAAGTGAGTCTACTCAACGTTCTACATGCCTGCAGGCAGTTATGGCGCTGTACCAGTAATACTCAGGGTGTAGCACTCACTTATTCCACCTAATCATCAGTGTTGTTCACGAGCACTGCTCTCCTGCCTCGTGGATTGAGTGGGTTATTATTCTACTTTAGCAGAATGCTATGATGGGATGCTGTTGAGCTTTACATGTTGTACCCATGTGGGGAATTGAACCTGCCCTTAGGTGGGATGGCACTAGTAGATATTCCATGATTTACAGTAGCACCACGTGTGGTGGTGACCTCAGAACCATTCTGGGTGTCGATGGTTCTTACATTGCTCTGTTATTACAAGTTACATGTGTAACACAAGGAACATAGAATGAGGCATTCTAAAACTTAACTCCACTTTTTGTTAGGATGATGACAAAAATGGCACCAAATTAGCAGTGAGTTTAGTTTTCAGTTTCACACAGTGAAAGTGACATTGTTTTAAGACCTTAGTCATTGGGCAATAGGACTTATTGTCGGTGTTGTTTTCAGGGCGGTTATCATGTCGATGCCAATGGGGAACTTCTTTCAAGAGTTCTTCAAGGTTGCTGGAGAGCTCAACCCCCTGAATTTGACGGACAGTGAGATTGGATTGTTCACAGCCTGCCTCATCATGTGTCCTGGTGAGTTGGCCTGAAGTGAAATTCCCAACATGGTTATCATCTAAATATAGATCTGCTGGATGACAACAGGGAAGCATCTTCACATGTCATCTATGTCGCTGAAGTCAAAGAACTACTATTAAAAACAGTAAATTCTTTAATTAACAAAGTAGCATTAAATAGCCAACAGCCCAATAAGTGGTACTTTCTTCCACTGGATAAGATGTTGATGACAGCAGTGATGATTCATGTTTGATGTAAGCTGACCTGCTGATGTTTGGTTTCAGATCGCGTGGGTTTGAAGAATGTGAAGGCTGTGAATAAGATCCAGACTCTGTTCCAGCAGTCACTCTACATGATGCTGGACCAGAACCACTCTGGTACGTGTCAGCTCTGGGTACCTCATACCCACCCCAACTCGCTGCCACACACCCCACACACACCCAACACACACTCGCTGCCACCACCCACACACACACTCAACACACACTCGCTGCCACACACCCAACACACACCCAACACACACTCGCTGCCACACACACACCGGCTGCCACACACACACACACTCGCACACACCCAACACACCCACACCACACACACCGCTGCCACACACCCACACACACACTGCCACACACACACACCCCTGCTGCTGCCACACACCCACACCCACACCCAACACACACTTTCGCTGCCACACCCACACACCAACACACGCTGCACACACCCCACACACACCCAACACACACACACACACGCTGCCCACACCCACACACACTGCCACACACCCCCACACACACTCTCGGCTGCCACACACACTCACTGCCATACACCCACATGTGCGCGCATATACTCACACTCACTCACTCACTCACTCACTGTGTCTACTTGTGTTCCAGAACCCGACACGCTGTTCCTGAAGCTGCTGACATCAGTCCCCGTCCTCCGAACCATCAATGAGGAACACTCAAAGGCCATCAACAACATCAAAATGACCCAACCAGGAACATACGAGGAAGTGTTCCCAGCCTTGCATCAAGAAGTGTTTGACGGCAAACTGTAGACTGCCGGTTGTGGCACAGACGATAGACTGGAGGAGAATGCTCCGGTGTGACCAGTCAGAGACTCCGTAGCCTGGCAGGCTGTGTGATACGCGATGTAGCGGAGAGGTTGTTGTTGTCAACAACTCAAGTACAGCATCTGGTCACTGGTCCAGCTCAGTAAACCATCTCTCAACTTTGTTTAAAATTTTAGAAGTTGAATGTAGCTGAAGGCAGATGAAATGGCTCAATACTGTTGCAATGTAACAAGTGATTTGTTAGATACTCTGTCAACAAGGACTATTGTATTGCTATGACTTAACCTATTGCAAGAGATACAGTACAGACATTTGTGCCTACATCAAAGTATTGTATTTTGCAAATGAGTGAGTTTGAGAATATTATTAGATGTACCATATTTAACATATTAAACACACAGAACGATTTAAAATTCCAAGTTTGTATGATCTTTGAGAACGTCATCAGTTCATTTTCACCAGATTAGGAAAGAATGTTATAAAAGTCTATTCATGGAAAAGAAATCTCAACTTTATGTTGATAAAAATGTTTGTGGTCAAAATGGGGTGCTTAATACATGGTTTATGGTAAATGGAATCCATTTTAGGGCAAGTCGTCGGTAACGACACTGACATTACTTCATCTTCATTGAACAAAAACTTTTCCATGACTAGCTTGAAATTCTACGAGAGGTTGTATGGCGTTGAAGGTGGGGAATATTGTGAACTTGTGATACAGCGGGGCTTGAGGATGCTGAGTGGATGTGGGAGTGATTGTCAGACTGACTGTATTCAGCGGTGTGAAAGGTCTTAATGTAAATATATTTCATGTGTCTGAAGGGCCCTGCCGACTGCCAATTGCGAGATTCATGTATTGTTTATAATCCATCATGTACTTTGAATATTAATGTCTGAACATTGTTAAGAATTCATTGTAAACACCAATCACATCAACAGAAGGAGATGTTCTTGTACAGAATAATCTATTTGTATATAACCTGCGTAACACTAGACTTTAGTCAGTGAGTTTTGAAGACTAATTCCTCCTATTTTCAGAGAAATAATTGACTGATGTTCTAGGCAGATCTTAAAGGTGTGCTCGTCAACACCTATTCTCTCTTAGCTAGTTGAACTCCATCACATACTAGTTCAGTCTAGTTTAATTCAGATTCGTCCAGTTCAATCTTGTTAAAGCAGGAGAAACATTTCAAAATGATTTAGGAAGTAGATAATAATTCCCTCATTTTGGGGATTGTTTTGGGTTTGAATCCAGCTGAAACACCCAGTTGAATGATCTGTTGGTACCATCTATGGTTGTCTGACTATGTTACTGCTGTTGTCTCGCTGACCTCGTTACAAGGACGTTCAGATGCTGTTAACATGCCATTAAGATGCTGTTAACATGCCATTAAGATGCTGTTCAGATGATGCTTAGATGATTTGAAGATGGTGATCAGATGATATTAAGATGATGATCAGATGATGTTAAGATGGTGTTAAGGATGATATTAAGGATGATGTGAAGACGAGCCTCTTTTGAGTTCTAGGTGTAGTTATTATATATATCAGTGTCTCGGTTGTCTTGTCCTGATGCTTCTGTACCTTGTAAATGATTGAATATTTCGTGTTCACAAAGTGCATAATTTGTGTATGATATTTCAGGGAATATAATTATGTACAAGCTCCATAGTGCTGACTTTCACAGTGTCTGTTATCTGTGTGTGTTTCATCCATCCTCGTTAGGGGAGGGACTTTGGCTCGTTAACCTCAGGTGTCAAACACTAAGTGCTAAACCAAAAATTTCAGCATCGGCCAGAATTTTTTTCTTTACATGACCGGAAACAATTTTCTTAAATATTGACTCAGATGTTATTCTGTTCATCTGCTGACTGCTTTAGGAGACTGTTTTGAAGTGAATTTTTATCTACATTCTTTTTAGACTTTTTGATTTTGTTAGGTTTTATCTTGTTTGTTATTTACTATGCCTTGGAAACTTGTGTTTTAGTGGTTTGTAATCTTGTTTCACGATGCCGATGTATGGAAGTAAAAACTGGGAATAAAGTTACATAAATACAAACAATGTTTCGTTGTTGTGTGCATGCTGTACTGTGTACACTCAGCTGTGTTGCTGGTTTAGTTCAGTGTTTCTAACTGCTTGTCTCTGACATCTTTGATTGGCATTCTAGAAGTTGGGGAGATGAAGGATGAGGACAATTTCTATAGATATACAACTTGGTGACAACGACATTAGAATCTATGTCGAAAAGTTGCCTATACAGAGTAAAGAAGTTGTATATCCATAGAAATTGTCCTCATCCTTTGTCTCTGACAGTGAGGCAACTTTGTCAAGCAAGACTTACTTTTCAGAAATCACGAGTGAAAACACTGCACCAGGGAGTCCAGGGTCACTCCATCCAGCAATCGGACAGTCAAACTCTATGGTTTGGCAGGATGTCCATCCTTTGACCGTATCCATCACTGGGTTGTCTGGCCCAGAATGGAGATACTGCAAAGTGTGGTTTGGAACAGGGTAACAATTCTACTCAAAAGCAACCTGATTCAACTCTGCAGTACGGCATGCCACAACTACACAGGCTAGTCGGTGATGTCAGCTGGTGACTAGCTGTTACAAGGCATCTCACTGGGCTAGTCGGTGATGTCAGCTGGTGACTAGCTGTTACAAGGCATCTCACTGGGCTAGTCGGTGATGTCAGCTGGTGACTAGCTGTTACAAGGCATCTCACTGTGATAGTCGGTGATGGTCAGCTGGTGACTAGCTGTTACAAGGTGTCTCACTGGGCAAGTCGGTGATGTCAGCTGGTGACTAGCTGTTACAAGGCATCTCACTGGGCTGTGATAGTCGGTGATGGTCAGCTGGTGACAAGCTGTTACAAGGTGTCTCACTGGGCAAGTCAGTGATGGTGCAGCTGGTGACTAGCTGTTACAAGGCAAATCTCACTGTGATAGTCGGTGATGGTCAGCTGGTGACTAGCTGTTACAAGGCATCTCACTGGGCTAGTCAGTGATTTGCGGCTGGTGACCAGCTGTTACAAGGCGTCTCACTGGGCTAGTCGGTGATTTGCGGCTGGTGACTAGCTGGTACAAGGCTTCTCACTGTGATAGTCAGTGATGGTCAGCTGGTGACTAGCTGTTACAAGGCGTCTCACTGGGCTAGTCAGTGATTTGCAGCTGGTGACTAGCTGTTACAAGGCGTCTCACTGTGATAGTCGGTGATGGTCAGCTGGTGACTAGCTGTTACAAGGCGTCTCACTGGGCTAGTCAGTGATTGCGGCCGGTGACTAGCTGTTACAAGGCGTCTCACTGGGCTAGTCAGTGATTTGCAGCTGGTGACTAGCTGTTACAAGGCGTCTCACTGGGCTAGTCGGTGATTTGCGGCTGGTGACTAGCTGTTACAAGGCGTCTCACTGTGATAGTCGGTGATGGTCAACTGGTGACTAGCTGTTACAAGGTGTCTCGATGGGCAAGTCAGTGATGTCAGCTGGTGACTAGCTGTTACAAGGCGTCTCACTGGGCTAGTCAGTGATGTCAGCTGGTGACTAGCTGTTACAAGGTGTCTCACTGGGCAAGTCAGTGATGTCAGCTGGTGACTAGCTGTTACAAGGTGTCTCACTGGGCAAGTCAGTGATGTCAGCTGGTGACTAGCTGGTACAAGGTGTCTCACTGGGCTAGTCGGTGATGTCAGCTGGTGACTAGCTGTTACAAGGCGTCTCACTGTGATAGTCGGTGATGGTCAGCTGGTGACTAGCTGTTACAAGGCGTCTCACTGGGCTAGTCGGTGATTTGTCAGCTGGTGACTAGCTGTTACAAGGCGTCTCACTGTGATAGTCGGTGATGGTCAGCTGGTGACTAGCTGTTACAAGGCGTCTCACTGGGCTAGTCGGTGATTTGCAGCTGGTGACTAGCTGTTACAAAGCGTCTCACTGTGATAGTCGGTGATGGTCAGCTGGTGACTAGCTGTTACAAGGTGTCTCACTGGGCTAGTCAGTGATTTCAGCTGGTGACCAGCTGTTACAAGCAGCGTCTCACTGGGCTAGTCGGTGACGGCGGCTGGTGACTAGCTGGTACAAGGCTTCTCACTGTGATAGTCAGTGATGGTCAGCTGGTGACTAGCTGTTACAAAGCGTCTCACTGGGCTAGTCAGTGATTTGGCGGCTGGTGACTAGCTGTTACAAGGCATCTCACTGTGATAGTCGGTGATGGTCAGCTGGTGACTAGCTGTTACAAGGCGTCTCACTGGGCTAGTCAGTGATTGTCAGCTGGTGACTAGCTGTTACAAGCGTCTCACTGGGCTAGTCAGTGATGGTCAGCTGGTGACTAGCTGTTACAAGGCATCTCACTGGGCTAGTCGGTGATTTGCGGCTGGTGACTAGCTGTTACAAGGCGTCTCACTGTGATAGTCGGTGATGGTCAGCTGGTGACTAGCTGTTACAAGGTGTCTCAATGGGCAAGTCAGTGATGTCAGCTGGTGACTAGCTGTTACAAGGCGTCTCACTGGGCTAGTCGGTGATTTGCAGCTGGTGACTAGCTGTTACAAAGGCGTCTCACTGTGATAGTCGGTGATGGTCAGCTGGTGACTAGCTGTTACAAGGCGTCTCACTGGGCTAGTCAGTGATGGTCGGCTGGTGACTAGCTGTTACAAGGCGTCTCACTGGGCTAGTCGGTGATTTGCGGCTGGTGACTAGCTGGTACAAGGCTTCTCACTGTGATAGTCAGTGATGGTCAGCTGGTGACTAGCTGTTACAAGGCGTCTCACTGGGCTAGTCAGTGATGTCAGCTGGTGACTAGCTGTTACAAGGTGTCTCACTGGGCTAGTCAGTGATGTCAGCTGGTGACTAGCTGTTACAAGGTGTCTCACTGGGCTAGTCGGTGATGTCAGCTGGTGACTAGCTGTTACAAGTGTCGTCTCACTGTGATAGTCGGTGATGGTCAGCTGGTGACTAGCTGTTACAAGGCGTCTCACTGGGCTAGTCGGTGATTTGCGGCTGGTGACTAGCTGTTACAAGGCGTCTCACTGTGATAGTCGGTGATGGTCAGCTGGTGACTAGCTGTTACAAGGCGTCTCACTGGGCTAGTCAGTGATTTGCAGCTGGTGACTAGCTGTTACAAGGTGTCTCACTGGGCTAGTCGGTGATTTGCAGCTGGTGACTAGCTGTTACAAGGCTTCTCACTGTGATAGTCAGTGATGGTCAGCTGGTGACTAGCTGTTACAAAGGCGTCTCACTGGGCTAGTCGGTGATTTCGCGGCTGGTGACTAGCTGTTACAAGGCGTCTCACTGTGATAGTCGGTGATGGTCAGCTGGTGACTAGCTGTTACAAAGGCGTCTCACTGGGCTAGTCAGTGATTTCAGCTGGTGACTAGCTGTTACAAGGTGTCTCACTGGGCTAGTCAGTGATGGTCAGCTGGTGACTAGCTGTTACAAAGGCGTCTCACTGGGCTAGTCGGTGATTTGCGGCTGGTGACTAGCTGTTACAAGGCGTCTCACTGTGATAGTCGGTGATGGTCACTGGTGACTAGCTGTTACAAAGGTGTCTCACTGGGCTGAGTCAGTGATGTCAGCTGGTGACTAGCTGTTACAAGGCGTCTCACTGGGCTAGTCGGTGATGGTCAGCTGGTGACTAGCTGTTACAAGGCGTCTCACTGTGATAGTCAGTGATGGTCAGCTGGTGACTAGCTGTTACAAGGCGTCTCACTGGGCTAGTCAGTGATGTCAGCTGGTGACTAGCTGTTACAAGGCATCTCACTGGGATAGTCGGTGATGGTCGGCTGGTGACTAGCTGGTACAAGGCTTCTCACTGTGATAGTCAGTGATGGTCAGCTGGTGACTAGCTGTTACAAGGCGTCTCACTGGGCTAGTCAGTGATGTCAGCTGGTGACTAGCTGTTACAAGGTGTCTCACTGGGCAAGTCAGTGATGTCAGCTGGTGACTAGCTGTTACAAGGTGTCTCACTGGGCAAGTCGGTGATGTCAGCTGGTGACTAGCTGTTACAAGGCGTCTCACTGTGATAGTCGGTGATGGTCAGCTGGTGACTAGCTGTTACAAGGCATCTCACTGGGCTAGTCGGTGATGTCAGCTGGTGACTAGCTGTTACAAGGTGTCTCACTGTGCTAGTCGGTGATGGTCAGCTGGTGACTAGCTGTTACAAGGTGTCTCACTGGGCTAGTCGGTGATTTGCAGCTGGTGACTAGCTGTTACAAGGCGTCTCACTGTGATAGTCGGTGATGGTCAGCTGGTGACTAGCTGTTACAAGGCGTCTCACTGGGCTAGTCGGTGATTTGCAGCTGGTGACTAGCTGTTACAAAGGCGTCTCACTGTGATAGTCGGTGATGGTCAGCTGGTGACTAGCTGTTACAAGGCGTCTCACTGGGCTAGTCAGTGATTGTCAGCTGGTGACTAGCTGTTACAAGGCGTCTCACTGGGCTAGTCGGTGATTTGCGGCTGGTGACTAGCTGGTACAAGGCTTCTCACTGTGATAGTCAGTGATGGTCAGCTGGTGACTAGCTGTTACAAGGCGTCTCACTGGGCTAGTCAGTGATGTCAGCTGGTGACTAGCTGTTACAAGGCGTCTCACTGGGCTAGTCGGTGATGTCAGCTGGTGACTAGCTGTTACAAGGCGTCTCACTGTGATAGTCGGTGATGGTCAGCTGGTGACTAGCTGTTACAAGGCGTCTCACTGGGCTAGTCAGTGATTTGCGGCTGGTGACTAGCTGTTACAAGGCGTCTCACTGTGATAGTCGGTGATGGTCAGCTGGTGACTAGCTGTTACAAGGCGTCTCACTGGGCTAGTCAGTGATGTCAGCTGGTGACTAGCTGTTACAAGGCGTCTCACTGGGCTAGTCAGTGATGTCAGCTGGTGACTAGCTGTTACAAGGTGTCTCACTGGGCTAGTCAGTGATGTCAGCTGGTGACTAGCTGTTACAAGGTGTCTCACTGGGCAAGTCAGTGATGTCAGCTGGTGACTAGCTGTTACAAGGTGTCTCACTGGGCTAGTCGGTGATGTCAGCTGGTGACTAGCTGTTACAAGGCATCTCACTGTGATAGTCGGTGATGGTCAGCT